ATGTGAATTCTCTAAGTTACATGCTTCTGTGCTACAGGGAACACATTCTAAATCATAAAGGTAGATATTTTTCTCTCCCATGTGACTGAATGAAATGAAACTGAATTCACTTGGGATGAATGCAGGGCAAACATGGTCCATCTTTTTTTTTTTTTTTTTTTTTTTCCCCCTGACTAAGCCATCTCTCCCTCTATTTCTTAAAAAGACAGTTATGTAATTTATGAAGAGCAGAAAAATATAGACTTAGGAGAGAGGTTCTCTGGCTGGGTGTGGTGGTAATACCAGTGAGACCTGTATCAGAAAACAGATGCCACATTGGGTAAACTGAGGGACGTTTAGTCAGTACTCTTTATAAAGCTGTCGGGAAACCATGAGGGCCAGAAGAGAGAATGGTTGTCAGCACCTGGAAGGTGGTGTAGAAAGGGCCCCTTAAGAGGAGCCAGCAGTGACTCCTCAGCAGGCCACACTGGCCCCTCACCTTCATCTCCTGCCCTGGCTCCTCACTGGTGGAACGGGAAAGACAGTGGGGAGGGCAACCCATTGACTGAGTGGACATCAGCCTCCAGGGCATAGAGCAGGAAAAGCAGGGTGGGGAGAGGTGGGTCTGAGGAGAAAAATGGACAGATCACACTTATCAAGCAGGAAAGTTAGTCCTTATCTTGTAGGGAGAGAACGAACATGTTGAAGCAGGAATTTCTATGATCAGGTCCTGATTTTCAAAGATACCTGATGAAGGTATAGAGAATGGACTGCTGCAGTGATAGGTAAGGCAGGGAAACCTGCCTGGTCACTGTTGTGAAAGTCCAGTGGAAGTGGAGGCTGTGTTAAAGCAGAGGCAGGGAGACTGGACAAGGGATGAGGAGGAGGCAGTGCTGACAGGACCGTGTACAGGAGGTGAGGGGGTTCGGTTACCTCGGGGTCTGGGATACAGGAAGACATAGGAGAAGAGGATACAGGTGAGGCATTTCTCAGGGACTAATCCTGGTGAAAATCAAAGATGATCTGCTTGCTCACAAGAGAGAATTTCAGTCCAATAGAGACAGGCATTCCTAAGGAGAGGGCAAATAGGACCAATCCTGTCTCTCCTGTGAGAACTGCCCTCTGGATGAACTCCCTTAGAAGTTGATGGAGAAGGCGATCTCTTTCTTTCACATTGATGGCTGCCCAGCTCCTAGCTGGTGCTTACGGACACCTGGAGGAGAGCAGCCGCTCAGCTAGCTTCCATTTGGCTTGTACACACGGTGGTTATAAGCTCAACTAATTATCATTAAGACGCAGCTACCATTTTGTAGGACCTGCTTGCGCAAGCATGGTTGCCTTACAACAGCATGACAGCTTCTCTGTTTATACTCAAGAAAGGAGAAAACGGGGAGGTTAAGCAACTTGCTCAAGGCCACACAGATAGAAAGCAGATGTGCTGGCAAGTTTACCAGTGACATTGGGCCTACTCGTCAAGGGCACACAAACTCTCGTTGCGTAACAGAGTTATCTGAAAACATTATGTGTTGAAGGTATTGATACTTGTGTGATTAATTCTGATTCTTTAAAAAAAAACAAATGAACTGTGTTCTATTTCTGATCCTGGGAATGCACACTGTGACAGTTTGCTGGGAAGTATATTTTTTATTTTCTTATTTCCCTGAGAAGCTTTCTGCATCAGCTGGGTTAAGGAATGCACACTGGGAAGAGGGAAAGGAGGATGCTAGCCTAATAGAATATTCTCAATTAGAGTTTGCGTTCCTTCAGGGCAAGGACCATGCCTTAGTCATAATTGCTTCCTTTTTCTTTTTAAAATATATTTTATTGATTCTTTTTTTTTTTTTTTTTTTTTTTTTTTTTTTTTTTTTTACAGAGAGGAAGGGTAAGGGATAGAGAGTTAGAAACATCAATGAGAGAGAAGCATCCATCAGCCACCTCCTGCACACCCCTACTGGGGATGTGTCCGCAACCAAGGTACATGCCCTTGACCGGAATCGAGCCTGGGATACCCCTGTCTGCAGGCCAAGGCTCTATCCTCTGAGCTAAACCAGTCAGGGCAATAATTGCTTTCTTGAGGGAACCTAATACGATGCCCAATACATGTTGTAGTTCAGTAAGTGTTTGTGGAGTGAATGAACTGAGGGGAGGCTGTTTCAAAGTTGTTTCTCATTGGAGTCTTTTGCCATCACAAGGTGGGTGACAGCAGCAACAGTCATCCCACTAGCTTCCTTTACTCAGCAGCATGGACCAGAATAGACGATGTCCACTTAAAGGACACGCAGGGGCAGCCATACAGCTGCAATTCAAGAATTAGTAACGGAATGTAACCAACATGGTTTTGTTTAGAGCTTCGCAAAGCCTGGTGGAGTTGGTTCCAGTTGGCTTGGATGAGAGGTCACACAGATTAAAAATAGGCTTTCTCAAGAAGGAACAATAGTCTACATTCACTCAGCAAGACAGAAAAAAAAATGGCAGGCCTCAGGGGCGGGGAGGAAGTTTAATCCTATTTAAGAGCTCAATTAACCCCCAGAAGACTTAGTGGGTCCTCTGCTTTCATCCTCATTCTTCTCTCTAGCAGAGCTTAAGCATAGAGATTCATAAAGATAGGAGCAAAGAGGTTCCCATTTGTCTATAACACTCAAATGTTTTTTAAAAATATTTTAAATAGGGCACAATAGAGTTTAGGAATACAAGAATTAGATTGCTTTGACTGTTATGGTCCTTTAAAACTTGTGGAGTAAATCATATTCTCTTTTGAATTGTCAAATCTATTACCATTATTAGTTAAATATCCAAACATAAGCTTTTATTTTGACACAAATTCTCTGATATTTAAAAAAATATCATTCCTTTCTTGCATTTATATTATTAAACAAAACTATTTCTTCCTAAGCAAATCAGCACATTCTCAAGAGATCAAAATAGAAAACCTATTCTAGAATAAATCCTGATCATTCTAATGTTTTAATATGTAGAAGGAGGGTTCTGTTCAAATCATCCCATCTTGGGGTAAGCTTCTGAGATGGGGCCTCCAGGGGACTGGGACAAGGGAAGGTCATACATGTCAATCTCCATATCAACCGGTATGTCTGTGATTCCCAGATCATCTTGTGGCAGCTCTGTGAATGGCATTTATTAACACTCTGCGTTTGTTGCCCAGCAGTATAGAAATGACCGAGAGAGATATGAAATAAAGAATGATAGTTGATTTTGTTGCTGTCCTCCAGGAGAAACATTTCTAAGATTATGATAAAAATTGGTGGTTGCATAATATTTGTACTGTTTAATGAGTTCTTTGTTGTAACAACAATACCTTTAAAATAGTTGAGAAGCTTGATAAAAACAAGGACTCTCCCTGTCAATCTGAAATCATTTAAGTGTCCTGGGAGAAGACAACTCTGTGGTCTCCATCCCCTCAAGCAATGACAGATCCATCCCTTTTTTCCCTTCCCCACCAGCTAGGAATTTACATTTAATTTCCTCCTTGAGGTTTGAGAGAAGTTGCTGATATTCTGGAACAAGATTGGCCCTGTTTTACACTCTGTTTAAATTGCAGCTAATCTTGGGAGTTGTAGAGAATGTCACACCAAGGTTATAGCCAGGCCTTAGGTGAATTCCGTTTCCTTTGCAATGCAAATGACCACATCACCGTTTATTTCTTGTCCTTACTAGATAGCTAACACAAGCTATTTAAGATATTAGTGCCTTGGAACTGTCATTTAAATTTGTTCAATATTTGCTACTAATCCATGCAATACAACTACATTGTTAAATTGAACAGCTTTCCTCTTTAAAAAAAATTTTTTTTTAATTGATTTTTTAAGAGAGGAAGGGAGAAGGATAGTGAGTTAGAAACATGGATGAGAGAGAAACATCGATCAGCTGCCTCCTGAGGATGTGCCCACAACCAAGGTACATGTCCTTGATTGGAATTGAACCTGGGACCTTTCAGTCCACAGGCCAAAACTCTATCCACAGCCAAACCAGTTAGAGCAACAGCTTTCCTCTTAACTGATGCCAGTTCAGTATTTTCCTTCATTCTGAAGGGTTACCTTTCAACATATTAGCGTAAAGAAATCAGAACGAGTCCGACATAAAAGAAAACTTAAGCCATGGAAGGAGACAAACCATAAAAACTTTTGGGTGAAAACTATCTGGCAGCAAACATAAGATCACAAACCAGAAAGGGAACATCCCTTGCATAAAAATCACCTCAGACCAACTCCAAAGCTTCATTATAAATCTACAAACTCATGCCATTTTTAGATAATACATAAACCTTCAATATGGCTCTTAAAAATCACAAGTGTCTAAGAACTAAGTGATGTGCTTCACACTTGGGAGCACACTTTTAATCTGTATTATAAAAACCTATTGTTATTCCACAGGAAACATAAGACAATACTGAGAAAGAGCCACCGATTTTTTAAAAAACACATAATCCTACCAATTAAACTCTGATTTTTCATATTCTATGTTTTTTTTCTCAGACCTTATCCATTTTCCACAATACTTTAGTTATAATGATAGCACAGAACACAGAAAATATTATAATTATTTTTAATATAATTTTCCTATTGCTTTAGAATTAAAATTTTGGTGGTATAGCCTCAGCTTTAAATAAGTACATCTTTTCCCTTGACTACTAAACAAGCTACTTAGGATTAAAAACCAAATATTGGTAATTACTAACAACCAATTTCCAAAGACCATTCTCTACACAGTAAACAACATCTCATTCCCTTCAGAAAAAAGTTGTGGTTGCTGTCATTCATTCTACAAACACTAATAGGGCTACAAGAAGCAAACATCTCATTCTAGTAGATGAAATACTATATTAGAAAACCATATATATACATATAATTTTACATTTTGAGCAACACAACTTATCAGTAATGCAACAATAATATCTGTACAAATATTGATGAGATCAACACAGTTTTAATGAAATGTCTATATGAAGATGAATTTTCATTCTAAAATAGATAGAAAGGAAAAAAATAAACCAAATTTCTACTTACCAGCCATTTCCTTCTCTGAAATACCAGGGAGAGCCTGAAAAAAAAACAAAAAACAAAAGTTACAAAATTGTGGTATTATTAGAAAGAAACGTCAAATAATATTATTACAAAATTTTTAAAAATCAGAAAGCTATGTGAGCCAGCAATCCCACTGCTGGGTATACATTCAAAGGAAATAAAAAGAGGAAATCAAAGAGATGTCTGCATTCCTCTGTTCATTGCAGCATTATCCACAATCGCCAAGATACGGATGTGATATATAATGGAATATTATTTAGGCATGAGAGAGATACTATTCCTGCCATTTGCAATAACATAGACCTTGAGGGCATTATGCTAAGTGAACCAGAGGACATAAATGGTTACCAGGGACTGTGGTGGGGGTAGGATGGGAGGTTGGAAGGATGGTGAAAGAGGGGAGAAATAAGGAGAGGTTGTTGAAAGGGTACAAACTATCGGCTATCAGATGAATAAATTCTGAGGATGTAAGGTAAACCATGGTGACTATAGTTCATAATATTGCAATATATAATTGATATTTGGTAAGAGAGTGAAACTTAAATGTTCTCATCAAAAACGGGCAAATATCCGAGGTAACAGATGTTACTAATTAGCTGTAAACAATTCTTTCACAGCATATACATATATCAAATCACCACAAGGTATACTTGAAATATCTTACAATTTTATTTGTCAACTAGAGGCTCAGGTGCGGGGGAAGGGGGGGAGCCCCCTCGCAGTCGGGCCCCCCATCCATTGCCCCCAAAAGGTGGGCCTTGCCCACCAGACTGGGGCCACAATGGATCACCCTCTCTCCCAAACAGAGGGAGGCCCCGCCCACCTGCCCCAGTGTGCTGTGGGGTAGCCTGGGCCTCCCTCTTTGGGGTGATCATGGGGCAATGGTGGCCCCCCGACCAATCGCATTGTGCCCGCCTTGGCTGGCCTGGCACCAGTGGGTGTCATAGCATGGTCCTCCAGTCGTCCTGCTATTTGGCCATTCAGTTGGTCTGCATATTACACTTTTATTTTTATAGGTTATACCTCAACAAAGCAAAAAAGAAAAAGAAAAGGAAAATGAGAGCTGTGGAACTGTCAGCAAAGTTACTAGATCCATCTACAATGATTCTAAATCATCATGTAATTGTTTTCTTCTCTGAAGACGAACTCATGTTGCCCTTAAAGAGACTGGTGATCAATGAGACTAAAACACTCTTTGAATTTGGGTAGAAGCGTTGGAGTTCATGTGCTTTGTTTTACTTCGGGAGTCAAAAAGCGTAAATTGCTTACTTGGCCTCTTCCACTTCAAATCTTTGTCATTTCTTCTCTGCCCAGAACCTTCCTCTATGAACCACTCCTGGTTCCCGGGCTGCAGAGAGGACTATGGTAACTTCCAGAAAACATATGAGGTCCTCAGGCAAAGGTAGCTGCTCTGTTAGTTACTATGGGCTTTGGGCCAAGGGGTCTAAACCTCTCTGACATGAGAGGGATAGACATTCAGTTTCCAGCATATTACCTATCACTACCATTATTTTACAAAACAGAGTTTAGAATGACATGCTTACAAAAGACTTTTAGTATAAATGTCTAGTTCTACTGTTTGTGGAGACTCTAAAAATATTTTAGGAAGTTGGACTTCTGGTTCCCATTCACCTAAGTTATTCATGTATAAAATACAGTTAGCACGAGGATACTGATTTGTACTGGAAATGTTTTATAAATCTGTCTGATCCACTGGGATTTGACGCCTTCTACCCAACAGCCATTGATCTCACAAGACATCCACAAGTGATGTTTCTTCCCTTCTTCAAGGAGCAAAGTCCTTACAGTTGGAGTAGGAAAAATAGATATATGGTAACTAATTTTGGTGTGTGTGTGTGTGTGTGTGTGTGTGAGTGTGTGTGAGAGAAAGGAGAGAGAGAGAGAGAGAGAGAGAGAGAGAGAGAGAGAGAGAGAGAGAGAGAGAGAGAGAGAGAGAGGCTCAATGAACCTCTGTTAAAGATAAGCCTAAGGAAAAAGCATCAATCTTCATTTCCAGAAATATCAAATATCAAGATACCTATCTTGTTGTGAGATATTTATTACTGGGGAGATCCTCACCCTTGGAATTTATAGTATTTAGAGATCAATAGGGAATTTAGAGATCAAATAAGGGAAAAGTCTTTCTATGGATAGAAAATCCAGGGGTTTTGCTTTGGCAATGTCGATGTATATAGTGAGGTTAAATGAGACTTAATCTCAGCCTACATACAGCCACTCATGCCTTGTTCTCTGGTGTTAGCATCAGCTCTGCACACTGCCAAAGATGCAGCCATGGGGAGACTCTCGGGTGACTGAGTGGCAGAGTGGAAGGTTCCACGTGGAGGGCAGGGCATCAGAAGGACCAAGTGGGCTGTAAGCATCTTCCTCAGCATGTTTTCCTTTTCAGCAGAGTCATCGGGTTTTTTCTTCCCTTCTGAAAGAACTCCGGTTCTATTCTTCAGGGAAGCTATTTTCTCCCTTTTCAGCGATGTCACCCTACAGTTATGGTGTTTTGTTTTGTTCTATGTGTCATTTTTGGAAAGACACACGCCTTGCCCCATCTTGCAAACTATTGACAGGAACAAAATTCAGGGACTACTGGGAATGCCTAAAAGTGACATTAAATCCATATATATAATTTTTTTTTATTTTTAATTTTTATTGATTTCAGAGAGGGAGAGAGATGGAAACATCAATGATGAGACAGAATCTTTGATCAGCTGCATCCTGCACACCCCACACTGGGGACTGAGCCTGCAATCTGGGCATGTGCCCTGGCTGGGAATTGAACCGTGACCTCCTGGTTCATAGGTGTTCAACCACTGAGCCATGTCAGCTGGGCAAGAGATCATAGCTTTTAAATGGACTTATTTTTTGTGAAAAGAAAATAAACAACAAAAACAAAACAAAACAAAACAGGAACGCTTTCATTGCCAAGCTTGTCAAGATTGGTGATGGGTAATTAAAGAATGTTCAATGAGAAAGTTCCTTAGTATATGGATAGCTAACTGACACTTCCTACTGCATTCTTAGTATGTGCAAGGCAAAGTTTCGAGCTTTTACTCCATAATCCCACTCAATCTTAGAATAACCCCATGAAGTCCTGGAGGGCAAAGCACCTTGTGTGAGGCCATAGTCAGTCCTGGGAGATGTGTCCCAACCACTGGCACGCCGACCTCTGACGTCACTAACAGTAATTTAAAAACACTAATGAGCAGGAAGGTTGGAAAAGATTCCCATGATAAGAAACTGCCTTAGATCACAAAATATCTGTGTAGGTATAACTGCGATAGACAGAAAGTCTTAGTAAGCTCTCTCTTCTTACAGCTAAGGCATGTAAGGCAAATTGAGTGTCTTGCTCTACATTACAACTTGACCAGTGACAGGCCTTCCTTATTTTATTCTATTTGATTACAAAGTATGCAACCGAGCACGAATAAATAAATATGGAATAAAATGTTGATGAGCTGCACTATGAAGCAAAAATATCTTAGCCTCCATACAGCCAGTGTTAATACTCCATGGAGCCAATGTCAGTTACATTAAATCACATCACGTTCTTCATGATTCTTTAAGCTATCAAGGCTAACTTCCATTAAGTAACTGTGATGGCCACATTATGAGACTGAGCAAGGAACATCAAAGTTTAATGTAACTCAGAATTTGATAACTTCTCTTTTAAGTAAAAGCACAAAGGAATATGAGCTAGATGTCCATCAACTGAATTCTACCTTTGAATTTGAGGTAGAATTGTCTCTTTAGAATATGGTTTATAAATAATTGATTGAATTTGTGAGGTTTTCCCAGGGATGAAAGAAATTAAATATAGAAACAAAAAACAAAACTGACACTTGGTTTCTCAATTAATTAAAGCTATTTGTAGATTCATATTATATGCCCCACGTTATTACATGTACAGCAACCTTTAATGAAAAAGGATTCTTCTTTGTGGAATTCATATCCAATTAAAGAAGATGTGTGAAAAGATAAAAAATAAATCCATGCAGTGGATGCTAAATGACAATAATTAACATCACCACGGATGGGCTGTTAAAAGGAATAGGAATATCGTAGATAATTAGGACAATCCAGGTGAAAATGAACTGGTTTTCTTGGGCCTCAAACCTTCAGGAAGGAGGTGTTGGTCAAGTTTTTTTTTGTTTTTTTTTTCTTTCCCCCTTTGACATTTGAGAAGAGAAACGGCTAGGTTTGGGGTCCATGTCCTGAGGCTAATTGGTATTATGTCTGTTGCACAGAAAGAAACGTTCCCATGCAGGCTGGCTAGCGAGCCTAGTACAGAGCAAGTGTTCATCAAACATCTGTGGAATTAAAATACCAAATGCATATTTGTATGTACAGTTTAAGTAACATGTATGCCTGCTGCTTATGAGAAAGCTCCCATAAAAGGCATATTTTGGAATTCATTAGGGGCTTTTGTTAATAGCTGCCACATGTTTCATTTGAACTGTATCCTCAGGAAGTGATTTAACATTTCTGGCAATAAAGCAATTAAACAGGATTTTCCTGCTGGCCATATGGGTTCGCTATAACTTCATATTTTCTTCTCTCATTTCTCAATGGAACAAAGGGAAATCTACTAATAACTTCCAAATGAGAGAGAAAAAATAATTCATAGTCTTTTGTTATTCTTCTTCATGATAGTCAAATGATAGAATAACAACCTTTGGTATGGTCATACTGACCCTCCGCATGTAAAGATTTTCATTTAAGTTCATCTGCGAAGGTGTTTTACAGCTGAATTTTTAAAAAACCATTCAAGAAAGAGCTTTTTTAGTAAGAGGAGAGGAAACAATTTGCTCTCTCTTAATGAGGTCTTTAAAAGCTGTGTGTGGGAGCTCGGGCTATGTGTGAGTCTGTTTGTGTTTTTGGATGTAAAAAATGGCTGGGGAAATGCTGATTTGGACATGCCTGGCGGAAATGTTGGAGACACATGTTGATTCTTTTGATCTGAGCTAGGACGGTTTTCTGCACTTACTGGGGGACCACAGCCCAACA